AGTAATTTGCTAGTTTCGATATATATACCTTATAGATTTAATTTTTGTAATATATATTATTTTTATTCAATACTATGCAAAAATTATGTGTATAATACGTGAATTTTTTGTGTATTGTTGAAAATTTTGTAAAAAAATCAAGTGTATTAAACATGAAAAATACATATGTACATGTGCAATACGAGTATTAAACGTGAAAATTCTAAATTCTTGATACGGATAATAACTTTGGAAAAGTAAAAACTCTAAAGGGGAAAATAGAGACTAGGGTAATAGTAATAAATAATGCTCTAAACCACCGATAAATAAAAATCAGGAAATTTTTTTTTACACAATATCTATGTAAAGCTTATAGCCGCACAGCTATACTACTTATTAAAAAAATAAAATAAAAAACAAGACCGCAGTAAAGCCGCTCAGCTATACTGTTTTTCAAAATTAAAATAGCGCATATAGCCGGGCGGCTATACTATTGGTGAAAAAAAAAAAAAAGAAAGAAAGAAAAAAGGGAGAACTCCCCTAGCGCTTAGAGCCTTTCCATCCATGAGCCTAGCCCGAGGCTAGGGGAAAAAAAAAAAAAAAATTTGCGTTCTAGCGGAGCAGCCCAGGCCCCGGGGGGGGTGTGGGACCCACCAACTCGGGCTAACCCGAAGGCAGCTTCAGCCCGAGGTCCAAAATGAGGGATGCTGATGTCAGCGCTACAGTATCGCTACAGTACCCCGCTATAGTATTGCTACAGTACCCCACTGATTTGATTTTTTCCCCCTGTTGCCACGTGGCGACGTCTGGGCTCTCCGATCTGATTTTTTCCTCCAATCCAACGGCAGCAAATTTTTTTGCAATAAAATACTGGAAAAAATTCAGAAATTTTTTTTAAAAATACCCGTCGGTTGAATCTCTCCCCACAAAGTGATAAAATCCAATGTGTTTTCAACCACAAGGCCCAAAGCCAAGGGCCTGGGTCATGTAGCTTCTAGACTCTCTGGTCCCAACTCTCTCGTTTAGCATCTTTTAGGCGCCATTCATGTACATTAAAATCAGATGATAGCCACCTAACGTCCTAACCGTTGAGATTGACATCTCGAGCTTTTTCAGAAATGTATCAAGGACCGACGAGCTGGAGTGGATCCCATTCTAGTACTTCCATGTATGCACCACCGACTTAAGTCCCCACGTGGTTCGGCTTGCCATGGCTAAGGGCAAATGGGTGGAGTTGCTCTTAGCGACCAACTGGCAATTCAGCACCACATGTCCAACTAGTATAGCTGGGCAGCTATACTTTTTAAGCATATGATATTTAAAAGGCATATAGGAGCCCCGTGTCAAACACGTATAGCTGAGAGGCTATACTATTTTTTAAATAAAAAATACCGTAGTATAGCCAGGCGGCCATACTCTTTATGTGTATTATATTTAGAAGGAGTATCGCCTTGCGGCTATACTATTTATTTAAAAAAAATTATAAATAAAGGACCCTTCTATTTACATTAGTTTATACTTTATAGATATTAATTTGCTAGTTTCGGTATATATACTTTATAGATTTAAATTTTTTTACTAGATATTATTTTTATTCAATACTATGCAAAAATTAAGGGCTAGTTTGGCATTGTTGTGCTGTGAAAATAATCGCTGTCAGATTTGCTGTGAGAGAAAGAAGTTTGGCGTTTGGTAAATTTTTTGTTAAAAGTGTTGTTGGTATTGATTTTACGCATAATCAAAAAATGATTGCTGCATAATCATTAAACCTAGCGCCTCTTCGAAACTGATTCCTGCATAATCAGAAAATGAAAGCACCTCATTAGCTGCTTTCCCTTATAGCTTTCTCTCACAGTAATTTTTAATAATAAGTGATTTTCTCACAGTTTACCAAACGGGTTGGGCTTCTCAAAATTTTTAAAAAATCACTTATCACCCCAAATAAGCAATGCCAAACTAGCACTAAGTGTATAGTACGTGAATTTTTTGTGAATTATTAAAAAATTTGTAAAAAAAATCAAGTCTATTAAAAATGAAAAATACGTACGCACATGTACAATACAAGTATTAAATGTAAAAATACTAAATTCTTTATAAGCATAATAACTGTGGAAAAGTAAAAACTCAAAAGGGGACAATAGAGATTGGGGTAATGACCTAGTAGTAATAGATAATGCTCTAAACTATCGGTAAACAAAAGTAGGGGAAAACAATTTTTGAAAAAAGATCACATTATCTATGTAAAGAGTATAGCCGAGTGGCTATGCTATTTATTTTTAAAACAAATTTAAACAAATGACCCAGTAAAGCCGTTCGGCTATACCATTTGTTAAAAAATAATAACCAGCCTAGCGGCAATTAGCCAACTGACATTTGGGACGGCCATACGATTTATCTAAAAAAACCATTGTTCAGCCGCACGGCTATACTCTCCAACCATATTATATTTAAAAGGCATATAGCCACATGGCTATACTATTTGTTAAAATTTGTTTTTTAAAAAGTACCCATCTATTTGCATTAGTTTATATTTTATAGATACTAGCTTCTTTGCACGCGCTTCCGTGCCTGCGAGAGGCTTTTAAAAATAATAATAAATAAATGAGAGGCTTTTTAAAAAAAAATAATAATAAATTTATTTTAGAATTAAAAAAGATAATGGGTACATATATAGATTAATTATAAAAAAAGGACCCTTTTATTTGCTAGTTTCGAGATATATATATATATATATATATACTCTTTAAATATATTATTTTTGAAAACTAAGGCCATGTGGCTATACTATTTATTTAAAAAAAATCAAAAGGGCCCGAATATAGCAACGCCGATATTCTTTAAATATATTATATTTGAAA